ATTATAAAACATATTATAATATTACATAAGAAATATTAATATTTCAGTTATAATATAATTAAAAATTACAATTATATTATATTATAATATATTATATTATATTATATAATCATTATTATATTATATTAAATAAATATATTATAGAACCATAACGTGTGTAATACACTATAATATATAATAATATTAGAATTATAAGATTATATTAATATTTAATTATATTAATTATTATATTATTATTAATATAACAAATATAATTATATCAATATAATATAATGTAATAATATTATTGTAACATTATTAATATAATAAATATAATTATGTCAATACAATATAATATATTATAAAATAATAATTACAATATCATATTATTAAAAAAATTATAATATTATTATGATATCATATTATATGATAAAATAATAATGTTATAGTTATTAATATAATTATGATATTATTTGTTACAATATTATTATTATATTATATTATGAGTCTGAATTTTAGATTAAAAAAATTATAAATTATAAATTTTATTAGACATATTATGGATATTATAAAAGTTTTATTAATTATATTATATTAATTTTCGCACAATTTAAAAATTAAAATTATTTTTATACTATTTTTGATTTTAACTGTAAATTTTTAAAAAATTCTTTAAAAAGTATTTTAATAAAAATTTATTAAATATTAAAATCAACTTTTTCTACAAACCCAAGTCAATTTTGAGAGGAAAAAGCCCATATATTGGACGCTTCTTAAAAAGGACATAATATAGGTATGAGATTAAATAGGACACTATCCGTGAGATGGATAATATTGAAAGAATTTGACACCCGCTAATTGTGAATCTTTTTGGTCCTTTTTGCCCCCGTTTTTTCTAATTTTTCACATGGCTTCTCCTGCTTTGTCCACTCGTTTTTTGCTTTGGGGATTTTGGTAAAAGGTTAACGATGGAATAACGTCTCAACACACTTTCTTGATACTGATATATTTTTGTAGAGTATAACTTGAGTATAATTTTTGAGTTAAATTTAAATTATAATTTAAATTAAAATTATAACTTAAATAAAATTAAATAAAATTAAAACTTAAAATAATATAAACTTAAAAAAAAATTGATACTCGAGTTATTTTTTTTTATTTTTTTTTGACAAAAAAACAAAAACTCTTTCCTTGGCTAAGGTGGTAATCCATGTGTTGGCATTTAAAACCTATGAAGAATAACGTGTCAAGACGAGATAGAATAGATAACACGTGTTAAGTAAGAAACTGTTTTGAAAAGTTCCTCAACACGTAGTTAAGTTATAATTTTATATATATATATATGTATATATATATATATAATGTGTATATTGACCAAGTCATGCCTCAATTAACATCATCACCCCTCAAAAAAGGAAAAAAAAAAACAACAATCATCAACATTATCAGAGATCTTTTCTACCTACTGGGCAAACTTTTTTTTTCTTTCTTTTTTTTTTCTTTCCTTAGCCTTCAATTGTTTGTCCGCCAGCTTCCGGTGATGTTAACTGAGAAACATGGTTTCAGTGGACGCAAGCAATGACGAAAAGTACTCTGTCATATTTTATTCCTTAAAAAAAAAAAAAAAAAAAAAAAAAAAAACTGTCTGCCTAAACTTCTATACACCCCTTTCCATTCGCACCAATACCAAATTGTGTCTTGTCAACATACATTTTAAATTCAATTATGGATAGATTTCTAATGGGGGCAGTTTTCCCCATTTGTCCACCCAAAGTTCACCATAGTTCTGTGCTTTTACCTTATGCTAGGGGAAAAAATGGTTTAAATATGTTGAGAACCCGTAATACACCAAAGAAATGTAGCTATCAAATCACAAGTTGCGTATGGAAAATTATGTAATGATAATATCATATTAATATTCCGATTTGCGGGTCATGACTTTGAAACAGATATCTTTATGAGGAAAGGAAAAATCTCACTTACAGTGTTGACGTACGTCATATATATTTTATATATTATATATACACTAGTCGGGCAGACGTGACATTTTTTTTTTGAAACAATGATTATACAAATTCTTAAAAAAAAAAGAAAAAAGAAAAAAAAAAGCACGAAGAAAAAAAAGAAAAACAAAAAAGAGAAAGAAAGAAAAAAAGAAAATTAAAGAAAGATAAAAAGAAAAGGAAAAAAATAGAAATTTTGAAATTTCAAAGAACAAAGATAAAAAAAAAAATAGCTAAAAAGGGAAAACAACAAAAAAAAAAAAGAAAATTGAAAAAAAGGTAAAATATTTAAAAAGTTACAAAAAAGGGAAGAAATAAGAAAATAACAATTAAAAAAAAATGTTTCGCCAAAACAGTAATTACACGGAAACTTGCCTTATTCATTTTACAATTAAATTTTATTGTTATAGTATTTTTTTTTATAAAAATTTAAATTTAAACCGTGTTTATTTACATAATTTAAATTATGATGTGATTTGAATTGTGTATATGAGAAAAAAATATTATAATAAAAAATTGAATTTGAATTTATGTAAAAAAAAAATATTGTAGTAATATGAATTGAGTCATGAAATGAATAAGGTAATATTTTTGTTATAATATTTTTTTTTCACATTCTCAACTCATAACTTGAGTTATGACCTGAGTTGAGTTGTGAAATGAACACTCTCTTAGATCTATAACTATATCGAATACAAATTAACGTAACACGACCATACTTCATTTACCTTAATTTCAGTAAAAGCAAGCTAAAAGTATTTTAAATTATTATTATTGCAAGTCTGAAGTACGTAGCATCTTTCCAAATTTTCAGAAAGTGCAACAGTTAAGTGACAGTTAATTTTTTAATTATATGTCAAATTTCAGTGTCTAAAATAGTGTCTAATTAATCATGTCATTTGAAAAATTGAAATATTTTTTAACTAAATTTTTTTTTTTTACTTAGATATATTAAATGATGTTTCATAATTTGATTTCTCAGATATCAATGGGATACTAAAAAGTGGACACTTTATTTGAGTCCTATCAGTTACACTTTGCATGAAAATTAAAAACAGCTAAGCTGGTCACTCGGAGATAGAATGAGAGTAGGTCCCAACAACATTAGATGACGCAGGCTAGTCAAAATGGACGTCTCCCAAAATAAGTCCTAATAATTCCTGTTGAGCTACGGGCTATGCATGAGTTTCACCTTCCTTGGAGTTCAAACAAGCCATTTCATTTCAGATGGTGGTGACTTCATTAGTTTTGTTGTGTTACTTTGGGTGTAATTCTTTGATGTCTATCGCAGAGAGAGGAAAAAGATTATCAGCAGAAATATTGTAGAGATGGTGTATGGAGAATGTTGGTACCGGTTTGAGTCTTTTAATACTTTA